TTTCTTGCAACCACCGAAAGATCTGCTAGGAGATTAACGAAAAGCTGTTGGCTTTCTCTTAATTGCAGGTAGACTTGCAACGGACTAGCCTGGATGCCAGACCCAAAGCACACTGGACACAAAATATCTCAGTGTGCCAGGCTCACTGAGATATTTGTGTCCAGTGTGCTATGGGTCTGGAACCCAGGCTAGCAAGAGACGAAAGACAGGTGTCATATAAGATATGCGTATCATATCATATCACAGAAGAACATACATGTATTTCGAGCCCTGTAAGAGTTTTTTGTCTCACGTGGGCGCCAGATGTGAGGAGGTCAGTGGTTCCACACGGAGAGACAGTCGTGCTTGCTGTGGTTTTGGCAGTAAACAGGGAAAACTTCTGTCTGCCAAATACTTCCCGCCGTCTGTGTTTGTAAACTCCCTGCCTGGCCAGACCGTGACCCCGGCATTCCTTCTGCGGTTAGCGCTTGGGTTGGACGGACTACTTCCCAAGATGTGGCGGCTGTTGTGGGTTTTTGTAGCGATGGCCGTGTCTGTGGTTGACTGCGGCCCGCCCTGTACCTGGGAGGGCCAAGACGTACCACCGAACACCTTGCTAGCGAAGCTGGACGATTGTACGCAGTGCATCTGCCCGGAGGAAGGCGGCCAGGTCCTGTGCTACCACCCGGTAAGTTGGGACAAGTTCGACGAGAAGTGCGACCCGCTCCCGCAGAACTGCGTCAACTACACCACCTCCGCGCCCGACTGCTGCCCGTCGTGCAGCATGGTCGGCTGCCGGCAGGGGAGAGGACATCTACCCGGCCGGGTACACCTTCAGTCGGAACGGTCTGGCCGAGTGCAAGTGTCCCGCGGACGGCGGGGACCTGATCTGCAAGAAGCTGCACACCACTCGGAGTCTGGGCGGGTTCTTCAACTCGGGGCGGACGCTGACGGCGCACCGGAACGTTCAGGCGGCCTTGCAGGCTCCTCAGAGCGACCAACCCGCCGACGTGCAGAGCGACTCGCCCGCCGACATGCAGGGTGACTTACCACCCCGCTATGCTGCAACCTACCGCGCTGGATACCACTACCGCAAGATGCACCTCCAGGTCCCCCCGGCGGCGTCCAGCGAGCGAGGGTGCGTCCACGGCGGCATCACCTACCAACTTGGCGTCGAGTTCCGCCGCCGCAAGGACCCGTGCATCCAGTGCCACTGCCCCTACACCGGCGGCCAGCTCATCTGCATCACCGTGACAGACGTCCCCGGCTGCGGCTACGGGACTCAACAACACTCCCGGCCCTACAGCTACCAGAAGTACCACGTCAACCCGCGGGGACCCTCCAACCCGTCCGGCTGTGAGCACTCCGGGACGACCTACCGCCCTGGGGCCGAGTTCAGGGTGGAGTACGAGCCGTGTATCCAGTGCCACTGCCCGTACACCGGCGGCGAGCTCATCTGTGTCCGCGTCACCGGCGTGCCTGAGTGCGGCTACGCACGGCGTCGGAGGGACACTTCTTCAATATTGAGAAACTTGTTCTCAAAGAATGTGTAGAAGAAATGCCTGTGAATTGAATGCGTCCAGTAGTAACCTAGTCGTAGCGGTAGGTTTCCGTAAACTTGTCACTTTTTCCTCTCAATTTCCAACTCATTTTTCGTCTATATGATGACGAACACTTGTCCAAACTGCATATATAATATACGTCCTGAACATTTGTTTTCACTGCTATAACGAGTTGATCAAGAATTTCCTTGTTTAGACACCACCTAATATCAGGTCCAGTGACACCACATTCCTTGTAAGTCGAAGACGAAACAGTATGCCCAGGTAGTAACAATGATATAGTAAGCGTCAAGTTTTTGTGTCCTGCATACATGTTTTGAATTAACGAAGATTTCACTTTAACGGTGCCTTCCCATATATTTCGAAGTCGCGTCTCGCCTAAGAAATACTTTACGTCTATTTTAAATCTCCTTCATATCAATCAATGTTAAAGCCGATCAGATGTTTTGTTTCAGAAATTTATCTGTTTTCAAGATACTACTCTCCAAGCAGAGGTTTGGTCTTCGGCTATTTTTTAAGAGTTTTTGAGCGTTTTATCAAGCTTTCTTTCTGCCTTACCAATTCGATACTGTTTTTG